TAAATGCCTGGAGAGCCGAGCCTCACCCCTGGAAATCGCCTTTGCCAGCTCAGAGGAGAGACTCTGAGCCATGTATCCTGGGCTGCTGCTTGCCATTGGCACAGGCAGGGATGAAACTAAAGAGTGCCAACTCTGCAAAGCCAAACCAGGCTCCAGCAAAACACATTCACTCCTGTGTCCCTGCTAACAGCATGTTCTCTTTAACTGTTTTTTCAGCTAAGCCTTTTATAGAGGTAAAATGTTATGTAAGTAGAGCACAGAGATCTGATTCCCCATTAGAAAACTCACTTTGTGTAGACAAAGCCAGTCCTGCGCAGCACTGGGGATCCGCGGGGCAAGCTGAGCTGAGCTGTCATTGTCCCAGGGTTGGGCTGGAGCAGAGCTGAGCTGGTGGTGTTGCCCCCAGAAACTAATCATCTTCTTCTTCCGACCCCTCACAGGAGCTAACAATGTCCTGCTGCATGGAATAATAAGCCTGGCAAGACCTCAAGCTAAGAATTAACTAGTCAGTTGTGTAAAGTCTCCAGGGGGGTGAAGAACAAGCCTCTTGTGCCACCCTGAGCTCATTTAGGAAAGCAGAAACCCACTTTGCTTTTGCAACACTCTCCTGTCTTCATCTGAAATCAAAACTTCCACCAAGTGAATTGTTCGCTTCTATCAGGGCGGGTGTTGGGGCTGAGCTGGAGCTGAGAGGTGACACGGAGCCCAGAAAGGGACCAGGGTGACGGCCGCAGCCCTAGCCTGGGCTTGGTGACGGTGCAGTGCAGCCTTGTTGGGCTTTTGGTTTTCCAGTCTGTGTTGCTAAGTGTCATGATTAGAGTTTAAATGAGCGAGAAAGAAAAGACGGTACTTGAATTGTGTTCGATTTATTGATGAGTGAAAAAAACCCCTTTGCTTGTAAGCTGCCCTGACAGAGGGTCCCTCTGGCCGAGGGGTGCTCCAGCGCAGGGCTGGAGACTTGTTGTTTCTTGTTTCCAGAAGTGTCGTTGGAATGATTGCTCTCTGCATTGGTAGGTCTTTGCTTCACAGTATCAGAGCCCTAGTACAGCAGGCAAGGAGACTGCTGCAGGGAAAAATGCAGTTAACCCCTACCAGACTTCACCTTTTAACTGCTCTGAATTTTAAAAAGTCCACAGCTCCTCTGCACTGGACTGCATACGGGACTGGGTCCTCTGCTCGACTCGGTGCATGGCTGGATCCTGCCTTCTCGCCCCGTGTACAAGTTCCTCAGCATAGAGGAGGTGATGCGTGGGACACCCTTGCTCTCCCACTGGGCTGGGGCTGATGCTTCAACCCTGCCCCAGCCCCTTCCCGGTCGTCGCTGCAGCCCGTGCTCCTCTTCGGTGCCAGCTGCCCCGTGGCCATGAGGAGAGGGAAGAGCCCTCACGGGGAGTCAGAGGAGGAGGAGGGAGCAGCAGGCGCTGGCCGGGAGCAGAGCAGACGTGATGCCGTGCCAGCGGGAACGCTCTCCCTGCAGCTGTGCCAGGGGATGCGGTACCTGGCATCAGAGCACTGTTCCCAGCCCTCTTCGGACCGCAGACATCTCATCCTTGCTGACTTGTCTCGGTGTTGCCTCAGCTCTTGGGTTTGTTCTCTGAGGCCTTTCCTGTTTGACAGTTGATCTGCAATTTAACATTTTCTACCTCTACGGTATCAGCAACAATTTCCTCTTGCCCTGTACTATAAACTGAACACCCCCAGCCTTGACATACGCACATCCTTGACACAAATGATGCAGCCATTAAAACAAGCCTCACGAAGCCAGCAGACCTGGTGTGAGCAAACCTGTGATGATTACAGCAAAGACAAGTCTTGTCATGGCATTCAGATGCTCTCCACAGACTGCCTCAGATCTTTATCTTCTCTTGTTGCTGTCGCTTTTCTTATTTAAAAAACCTGATGTGTCATCAGATTTCCTGCTGGTGATTAAAGAACCCAGAGCTGGGTCCTGCTGTGGGCAATGCCATTTCTGATTTGTAGAGATCATTTGCACTGACACTTCAGGCATTTTTTTCCGCCAGACTCAGGAGTTCAGGTGTTGGTACCTCTGGGCTCAGTGAGGAGATGATAAACCCGAGAAAACGCCGGTGCTCAGTGCAGCATTGTGCAGGGCACGCAGCCTCCAGCGTGGAGCGGCCAGGCCGGCGACTGGCACATCCCCTGCTCTGACCACCAGTGGGTCGGAGCCAACAGCCACTGTGGCAGAGGGTTTGTAGCGGAGCCTCAGTGCTGGGGACAAGGGTCAGACAAACGCGGCGGGCAGCTGGATTTTTCTGCAGTAGAGAAGTGAAGCAGTGTGAGCTTCTCCATGTTACCCAGCAGTATCGTTTGATGCTGCGCTGGAGAGCTGTCTGTAGAGGTGGAAAGAAGAGGCTGAACAGATGACCCGCATCGGCAGCATCTCTCTTGATGCATCTCTGTGGTGGTTTTTTGAAGCCATACTTGCCCAGCTGATGTTACTTTGAAAACAAATTTGTAAATACATTTAATTTGAAACTTCATCGGTCTCCTTCAAACTGTTCCAACTGTGATTTATTTGCAGACTGATCAGATTAAATCTGTAGGTTGCAGTGGCTATAAAATATTTACATTGACTTTCAGTTACGCTGCACATTGATTTCTAGAGAGCAGAAGTGGCATGCAAGGCTCTAAATCTTCTGGGCTTCTGTGGTGCTGTTGATAGATTGGTCTCTGATGATCCTTCTTACTTATTGCACACATTAAAAACATAGGAGCTCCAATTGTGCCAAGTAAAGTCTTTAAAATACGGATATTTGTCTGGTCCAGGCCAAACCCAGAAATGGGGAGCTTCCCCCCAGCCCACTGTGGTGACATCCCACGGGGATGCGAGTGCTTCTGATCAGCAGAGTGAGGCGAGCAGCTCTGGGATCAGAGGGCTTTTGGGCTTTGGCAGTGGCTGCCCCGGGATGCTGGCTTGGTGTCATCCATAGGTCTCCACAGCCAAATTGGAACCTCCTTTGCCGTGTGGCTCTGGGGTTGCCCGCTCCCCTCCCAGGAGCATCCTGTGGTGCCGGGGCAGGATGGCAGGTCCCTGGCCTGGGGACAGGTAGCTCCTGCCTCGGCTGATGCTGGGGCTTGTCCTTTCCTCTTTTGCAGTTTTTGAAGAGCCCGAAGACCCAAGTAACCGGTCATTTTTTTCTGAGATCATCTCCTCAATCTCCGATGTCAAATTCAGCCACAGTGGGAGGTATATCATGACCCGGGACTATCTCACTGTTAAGGTGTGGGACCTGAACATGGAGAACCGGCCCATCGAGACCTACCAGGTGAGTGTGGCACGGCCAGGCACCTGCAGCGGTCAGCACTAGCAGTGCTCCTGCCTGAGCCACGCTCCTGGGCTGGCAGCAAGGGGACGGGTACAAACCTCATAGATGGCAGCGTTGTGGCGTTAAATCATGGAAGGCAGACAAAGAACTGTTGAATGTGGACTGGAGTGGCCTGGTGAATTGTAATCCACATCCCCAGGTTGGGTGTGGGTAAGGAAGGGAAGCTCAGGTGCTGGAGGGCTGTGTGGGAGGCAAACGTCAGGGCAGAGCAGCAGCCCTTGCCACCATCTGTCGGGATGTGCCCTGGCACTGCCCGAGCTGTATGTGGAGTGGTGCTGGTGCTGCTTCTTACAGTGGAAATGTGGCCGTGGTCAAGGGCGTGCAGTAACGGGCCATGCCTAATGCTGCCTGGCTCAGCTGTGGAGTCCACAGGGCTGGGCCAGGTCCTTCGGCCGCTGGCGAGCACCGGGCTGGTGTTTGCCAGACGCTGGGCTGTGCCAGTTGATGCGGGGGCCTCATGCCCTGTCCCTCCCTGCTGGCAGGTTCACGACTACCTGCGGAGCAAGCTCTGCTCGCTCTACGAGAACGACTGCATCTTCGACAAGTTCGAGTGCGTCTGGAACGGGTCCGACAGGTGAGTGGCTCGGCGGTGCGGCTCCACCCTGGCACCCAGCCCTGCAGGTGCCGAGTTTGGCCCAGAGGGTGCATGCTTTGGGATAGCCTGGGGGCTCCTGTGTCCCTGCGCGGTCCCTTCCCCAGCCTTTGGCTGGGTGCAGGATCTGGAGAGTTTTCCTGTGGATAAAACAGGGATCACTTAAACCCACAGCCCAGTACCCAGGCGCTGCTGAGGGTGTCTGATGGGGTCCTGGCTCTCTCCAGGATGAGTTCAGTTCCCATTCTCATTTCACTCACACCTGGAGGAGGGTGGTGATGTGTTTGGCTCCAGATTGCCAAAACTGGGGGTGACAACTACCCATGCATAAATCACACCAAACCAGGTGGCAAAAAGCATGCAAGACCAGTTGACCTGGCAGGATTGCCACATTTTTTTAATCTGAACCATCAGAGCAAGTTAATGAGGCACAACTGGGCCTGAAGCCCAAATTCCTAATCTAATCGAAATCTCATTATGCCTCTGGCTATTCAATCTGCCTCTAGTCACGAGGCAGTTTGCCTCTAAAAAGGTGTGAAAATCATTTGGTTCAGGTCAGCGAAGTCTTTGCTGTAAAGGCTATGCTCCGTACGCATTGTTAGCCTGAAAGGAATCGCCTCCCCCGTGCACATTCCCTGGGCTGAGGAGAAGGGCATGGGGACGTGGCTTCACTGGCCGAGCCTGAGCCTTTTGGTGCAGGACGGGGCACGAGCTGCC